GGCAATAAGAAAAAATAAGTAGACTGCAGATTGGGTGCCACAGCCAGTGGGCATATTTCTGGGCCCCAGAAGGGATCACCTGGACAGAAGCCTTGCCCTTCACTTTCGGAGGCATCTTGTCCACAGGTCTCAGAGCCTCACCATGTGCATCCTCCCCTCAAACCCTCACCTCTGCTGCCAGAGATCTGTCACCCCAGAATCTCCCTTCCCTTTTTCTTGGGGGGGGGCGGGGGAGAGGTTTTTGTTATAGGGCTCGTGTGCTTGCCAGAAAGACAGAGAGACAGAAAGCAAGAAATCACCCCCCAGGGGGATTGCCACACCGCAATCCCTTCTCCTCCATTCTCCTCTTGGGATCTTGGGCATGCACTCACACATGCCTGGCATGAGTTTAAGCCACCAGGTCCGGGACTCGAACCACAGTCACTACATAGGAGTCCAAAGACATAGCCATTACGCCAACTGCTGGTCCCCAGAATCTCCCTTCTTAGGTTCCACCCTAGCCCAGGTGGGCCACCTGCCCCAGCTAGGCATATGAAACCTCCCTTCTGCCATTCATGCTGTTCACGGTCTTGTGCAGGGCAATGCCTTCAGGTCACCCTGGCCCCAGAACCACCAGAGGCAAACTGGGTAAAAGGAGACCTGAAAGGCAGGACAGCTCTGAGTGTTGGGGGAGGAGAGAGAGAAGGGGCCTCCCCAGAGCTGCCTGTGATGGGTTTTCTTCTTTGGTTTCCACCCTGGTTTCTGGATTTGGCCTTCCTCACCACTCTGCACTACTACATCTTTAAGAGGCCCAGAGCTGCCAGTCACAGTCAGTCAGAGTTGGTGTGGAGGCCGGGGTGTGGCTGAGGCTGGTCTTGCACCAGATGGATGTGGCCAAGGGGAGAGGCTTGTCACAGTCCAGTCATTTGCATTCGAATCAGTTCCAGCTCTTTCTCTGTGTTCCTGGGCAGCTCCCTTAACCTTCTCAGCCTCATTTTCTTTGCCTGTGAAATGGGGATTATCCAACCCATAATATAAGACTGCTGTAAGAATTAGAAATAATGTCTCAGTGAAAGGGACTGTTAACCGAGCCAGGCAGAGGAGACATAGCCTGGGTGTCCTCTAAGGTCCCTTTAAGGATGCCAAGGGCTTGTGGCTTCTTACTCCAAAGACAAACTGACCAAGTGTATGACCCTTTCCACTCCAAAGATGGTTAGATTCCCAGGCTCCCACCTGGGATGGTGGTTGTCCACCCCATGGCCATGGTGCTCTGGGTCTATTCAAGGGCTATTATTTGGGAAGGAGGAGAGATGGGGACCCCAGCTGCAGTGGAGAGGAGGGGTGGGACTCCGGTGACCTACCACAGAGATTTTTAAAAACGATGATCCAGCAAAAGCAGCAACCACGTCTGCTCTATTAGCAAGAGAGGCAGAGGCAGCCTGGTCAGCCTTGGGACTCTTATAGCTGGAAACCTGTCCAGCCCTGGCCTAGGGACACAGGTCTGAGCCACCGGGGTCCAGGCCTGCCAGGCAGAGTTGGGAGCTGACAATGTGATGGACAATGTAGGTGAGCTCAGTTCCTGGGGAGTCCCCAGCAACTCGGCCTGGGTAGAGGGATGACTCCTGGGAGAGACACAGGCAGAGCTAAGATCCAGTTCTGGTTGCTTCTCGGATGTGCTCCCAGAAGGAAATTCTGGAGTGCCTAACTGGCTCTGACCCCTACAGCGGGATTTGGTGGGACTGGAGCTGAGGACTGAGGTAGGAGTGGACCATGTGGCACCTTGCCAGGTTACGGGATTGAACCTGGGAATGCAGATGTCTCAGGCATGGCTGTAACAGGGCAGGGCCTAAGGCCTTCTCGTGGGTGGCCAGCTGGTCAGTGCACAGTCCCAGCTCCATGCTGGAGGCCTAGGTCAGAGCTAAGGGCTCACAGGAGACTTTGAGCAGGTCTACACTTGCGCCTCTGGTCCTTCTTGGCATTGCCATAGACAGACTGGTTACTAGAGGGGTGGCTGAACTGAAGGAGGACAATAAAGGAAATCCACTCTCACTTCTACTGGGCTTGAAGAAGATCCTGATGCCTGGCTAAAGCAGGAGTTGGCTTCCTGTATTTAGGGCTCCTGTTTCTCCACCTGTTAGCAGTTCTTAAATTTTATCTGATCCTCATTTTGCTGACTGGACATGGAGAGGTCAAATGATTTACCCAGACTTTCATACTTGCAGGTAGAGCTGCCCCAACACCCTCTGAGATCCCTTGGTGAACTACTTTTCAGTTTCCCCCAGGGGCTGTCCTTGACATGCTGGGGGCCTAGGGCAGGGCAGAACGCCCTGCATGGGAGACTGTGGGCAGGCAGAAGGTGACCCAGGGTATCTTTACAGCTTGTGACCTGGTGGGCAACAGGGAGCGGCATGAGCTAGATGAGGAGGTAGTAGGAGTCCAGTGGGCCTTGGACGTGGTCACCTAGGCACCTAGGTCTGGGTGAGGGCAGTCACTCAAGGGACAGAGGGTTGCTGATTACTGGAGGAGGTGGGGGTTACATCAGCTCGTTCAATAATGGTGTCAGGTCATTAAAGTACCAGTTAGAGGAGAGGAGGAGGGGTCAAAGTGCTTCTCTTTCTTGGGGAAATGATCTCATCTGTCTGTGGAGCAGCCCTATAACCCCTGATTCTCGTGGTCATTTCAAGCTGTGGTTGTATTAATCCATCAATGCTCAAAGTCGATTTTGACTTTTTTCAATGAGCCCGTGAATGGTCCCAGACCAGAGGTCAATGATCAGGGAAAGGTCAGCATCTGCCATGAACAGTCCTCTGCTCTCATGGACAGCCTTCTGAGAACATGGTGGTTAAAGGTGCTGGACTCCCACAGAGCTGACCGTGGTTCAAGTCCTGGACCTGGTGGCTTACATTCTCACTTTCCCTCTCTCCCTTTCTCTGTCTCTCTCTGATCAAACCTGAAAATAATAATAATAAATAAAGTTAAATAAAATAATTCTTAAAAAAAGAAAAGTCAACTTGTGTACGGTCATGCACAGCTTAACAGCAGGGATCCACGCTGAGAAATATGTCCTTCGGCAATTTCACTGTCGCAGAAACATCACAAAGTGTGCGCACACGAACCTAGATGGTGTACCCTGCTACACGCCGAGGCCGTATGGTGTAACCTATGGCTCCCCAGTTACTGAAATGTTATGAGGCACGTGGCTGTATTTTCATGCATATAAATCTTTGCCCATGTCTTTAATCATTTCCCTAAGACACATTTCTAAACTTGGCATTGTTCCTGCGGTTGTGTGTGAGAGCCCTGTACTCTTATCAATGCTGATGTTATAATTTCCTACAAGATAGTTGTATAAATTATAGTTTTCTACAAGATAGTTGATGGCAACAAATGATAACTTATTTCATTTGCATTTCTATAATCTCTCAAAGCCTTTTGTTTTTGTTTTGGCCAATTTTATTTATTTTGTGAATTTCTTGTTCCTCTTTTGCCCTCGAGCCAATGGAGTGTTTGCTTTTCAATACTGATTTGGTAACACGCTCTACGGAAACTTATTACCTCCTTGTTTTTGTACCTGTTACAGGTTTTTGTTTTTATTTTTTAAGAGGTTTTTGCTATAGGGCGCTTGCGCTTGCCAGGAAGACAGAGGGAGACAGAGAGACAGAAAGCGAGAAATCACCCCCCAGGGGGGATGGCCATGCCACAATCCCTTCTCCATTCTCCTCTCAGAATCTTGGGCACGCACACACATGTGCCCTGCATGAGTTTAAGCCACCAGGTCCGGGACTTGAACCACGATTGACTACATGGGAGTCCAGCGATATAGCCATTACACCAACTGCTGGTCCCTGTTACAAGTATTTTTAAATTAATTGATGTCTTCAACCTTTTGGAAGGGTTTTTTGTTTTGTTTTATTTTTTGCCCAGAGATTTTAATATTTATGCATTCAAATCTATCAGTGTTTTCTTTTATGATTTCTGCCTTCGACGTGGTACTTAGAAAGGCCTTTCCCACAACAAAATCATGGAAACGTTTATGCATATGTTCTGCAAATTCTTTTATGGTTTCTTTTTTTTTTTTAATGTTTTTAACTCTTTAATCTACCTGGAATAGATTGCATATGTCTTTGTAAGCTACTTCAAATCCCCTCTAAAATGAGAGTGATTAATTTGTTAATTAACACGGCAGGGAGGGGAAATAGGTGGGGGAGGGGTTAAGATACCGAAGAGAAATGAGCTAATTAATGGGTCAAGGTCTGGAGGAGAAGGATCAAGTGCTGTTGGCATGGGGTGCGTAAGGGAGCTGTCTTGAACACCAGGGGGACACTCTCTGAGAAGAGATGGGGGCCAGGAGGTGCATAGGAAATGAGCTAGAGAGGAAGACTAAGAGCCGGTTACACAATCCCCAGGGATTTAGGTGTGGGAATGGTAGGGAAGGACTGGGAAAGAGGACGTGGGTGAGGAGGACCAGGGACTGGGAGGAGCCAAGTGGCAGAGCCTCAGGGAGTAGGCTTTACCAGTTCACAGTTCATGATCTGGGGAGATCGGCCCTATGGGATGTGGAAGAAGATGGCACTCCACTGGAAAGGTGTCCTGGGGCCAGCTAAGGTGATGAGCTGAAGGAGCACTCCAGGAAAGGCTGAGGCAGGAGGGAGTCTGTTTACTGTGGGCAGGGTACCATGAAGGATCTGGGGGGTCTGGGGGCGTGGGGCTGTGAGGAGAGCCTGTCCCCAACCAGAGGACTGGAACAGAGTCAAGCAAAGTTTGATGAAGGGCATTTGCGTGGCACATTGCGGTTCACAAAGCGCTTTCATATGCAAGTATGTGCTTGAATAGGTGCCTCTCAACAGCCTAGCACAGCAGAGGGAAAGGGCCCTGCCCGGGGTCAGGCAGCCAGTGCCCAGGAGCTCCATCTCCTAGCCAGGGCGCTGGTCCCTGACTCTGGGCCCCATCCACCCAACTGTCATCGTAACACACTCAGCGACAGCACCTAACGGTCTTCTCCTCTTCTCTCCCCTGCAGGACAGTAGTCCACGTGCCTGCTGGCCATGAACGGGATGGCCAATGTGAGTTCAGCCAGCCGCCCTCACTGCGCCTCCTCCATCCCGGTGCCTCGAGCTTCTTCCCAGACCAGGATTCATACACCAGGCGCCTCTCCCCAGCTGCGGCCACGCCAACCTGGCCTGGCCCTGAGTCCCCAGAGAGCAGCATCCCCAAGACCAAGCAAAGCTGCTGGCCCTTCCAGAAATACCTCTCCTAAGGCCTCCCGAGGGAGAAGCTCCCCCAAGACTTCTGGGGCAGTGAGGGAGCCCCCCACTGGTGAGGAAGGCCCCTCCAGCTCTCCATGGGGCAGCCCCAGGATAGCCCCAAGAGCAGCCCTCTCCAGCCGGACTGGGCCCAGAAGAGCTGGGGAGACACACAGCACTCAGGGAAAGAAGAAGGAAGCCCAGGAAGGGGTTCTAACCCTCCAGACCCGGGGCAGGAGCCCATCTCGAACCAGCTGTCATGGAGAAACTCAGATTCCAGGGACACCTGAAGGATGGAAGCCTCCGAGCTGCCCAGGAAAGGACTCAAGAGAGATAAGCTACCGAAGCTCTGGGATCCCCAGGTCTTTGGAGCCTGAGGATGGGGCAGCTTCAGGGGCCTCATCTCCGATCTGCAGCCCAGCACCAAGCAAGCGCCCCTCGCCCACCCCAGCAGCTATTAGCTTCTCCTCGGTTCATCAGCAGAGTCAGCCGGTCACAGCCACGGTGGCGCCCTTCCGGTACAGGTGAGCTGGGGCTCTGGCAGGGAGGGAAGAATATGGTTCTGGGAACAAGGTACAGACCCGAAGAGGAGTGGGCCCTGATGGTGAGTGGCGGGGGGACAGAGAGCACCAGGGTATGGAAAAGGGAGGTAGGTAGAGAAGGCCACAAAGCTGGAGGTTTGAAGTCTGAGAAGGGATTGGACCACAACAGGGAGCCTGATTCTCACTTGGGGATTCTACAACAAATGGATGCTCATAAGGAAGCTACCCTAACATGTTCTCTTGCTCTCTGGGAGATGATGAAACAGTAGGAATTGTGAGTGCTTAAGCAGCTCCTACACAGGCAGGTAGGGTCAGAAATCAGTGTTGCCCAGCTCACTGGGGGCCGTTTGTCCCTACTGGGAACTGGGCTAATTTCAGTAGGCCTTTAGTTCGTGTAAGATCCTACCTGCTACTCCTTGTTGCTTTTATAATACTTGGTGTCTGTCTGCCTCTCACTCTCTCACTTGCTCTGCTTACTATGAGAAAGCCTTCAAAAGTTTCGTGGAGGGCTGGCCCCGTGGCCTAGTGCTTAAGGGAACAGATCCCACATGGCCGACTGTGCAGTTTGAGTACCAGCCCAGTGGCTTGACAAACACATGGGGTGCCAGTGCTTGTTGTCCAGAATCCCAATAAGATGGAGAGATGGTGGCGAAGGGATTGTGGCATGACCATGCCCCATGGAGGGTGCTTTCTCCCTTTTCTCTGTCTGTCATTCTCTGGCACGCACATGTGCTCTCTGGAAAAAAAAAAAAGAAAAGAAAAGAAAAACCAAACAAGTGGAAAATACAGACTATGACAAAACTGTGCATGAATTTTAAAAATATTTTGCACCAAAATAAACTTGTACTTTAATTCCATTTTCCATGATCTTTCCAAAGCCTCCTTGTCTGTTGCTTTATGTGTATCTGTTCCTCTGCCTGGCATGTAGGTCACAAGTCATGGTCCTTACATGGGCAGATAGGTGTTGTCACCACTGCCAGGGAGGTGGTTGGCACGTGTCCTTAACATCCTGCTAGAGTGCTTGCCTCGCCAGCATTTTTCAGTCAGATCGAGAGCATAGAAAAACAAAACTGCATCAGCTGTGTGTGCATGTCTTAGGTTTTTTGCCATAGGGTGCTTGTGGAGAGAGACAGAGAGAAATCTCCTACCCCCCCGTGAGAAGGATGGCTATGCCATAATCCCTTGTCCTCCATTCTCCTCCTGGGATTTTGGGTACACATGCCCAGTTTTATTTTCCTTTTCTTTTCTTTTTTTAAAAGTTATCTACTTCTTTATTTATTTATTTATACATACACACATACATACCAGAGAGGAACAGAGTGAGAGAGAAAAAGAGGGGCAAAGGGAGAAGGCAAGCCGCCAGGTCCAGGACTCGAACCATAGTTGGCCATGTGGGAGTCCGGGGCCCTCAACTACTGTGCCATCTGCTGGCTCCCCTGGTTTGCTTTTCAAACCACCAGGTCCAGGACTTGAACCACGGTAGGCCAGGTAGGAGTCCACTGCCTTAGCCACTGTGCCACTTGCTGGCCCCAACTATGTGTGTTTTTAAAGTAAAAAACATGAGTGTTTACCAACATGACATTAAGCAAGCTGAATTTTAATTACTAATTATTACTCAGTTTAGAAATGCTCAAATACAAATTAAGTACTTTTCTGGCTAAACAAACATTTATGCTTTTTTCTTATGCTAATCTAAGGAGAAATTCTCACTTATATTTTGGGTATAGGAAAGCTTGTATACCATTCCCTAGACACAAGAGGCCTCTTGGGTATCAGGAGGGCTATAGAAGTGGGGGTAGGAGCTCAGTAAGAGTTGTAGCCTACCTACACTAGAAGCCAACTCGTGTGTGCTGATCTCTGGAAAAATGTAGTGCAATCTTACATGACAGCGACGGGTATTTGAGGTCCAAGACAGGACATGAATAGTCCCACTATATTCTGCATGTGTTCAGGCCTCGTTTAGAGAGTTCTGTTCAGTTAGGGACTCCACACTTTAAAAGGGCATGGACATACAGAAACGCATTTAGAGGGAGACTGACAGGTTGCTGATGGATCCAAAAATGGTACTAGAAAGATGATGAAAGGAACTGAAGAAGTTTGCTTTGGAAAGAGAAGGCTTGGAAAGGGTCTGAAGACTGTTTTCTGATATTGGAAGGGCTGTCATCTGTAAGATGAATTCAATTTACTTGGTGCAGCTCCAGAGAGCTGACTCAGCATCATGGTGTTTAGAAGTTAGTTCGAGACAATTTCAGACTGAATAAGAACTTTCCAAGAACTAGAGGGGATTATGACTGGACCGTAAGGTGATGAACTCCCTTTTATTGTGAGAATTCTAGCTGACTCCATGGCCGAAGGCATTTCTTACCCAAGGGACCCAGCTCCCAAAGCATCCCTCTGCCTGCCCGGGCTGTCCGTGAAGTGCACTGGTGTTCCTTTTTCTAAGGGGTGACTCACTTCTGTCCCTTGTGACTTTCTCCAGTTAGATTCTGCAGCTGATGAGAGACCTCCGGAAGCAGAAATGTGGGCAAACCTTCCCTTGAAAGGCTGTTTTCCAATGAGTGAAGTTTCCCAGGTGTCTCTGCCTGAGCCCCTTCGTTTCTAATTCATCCTTTTGGAAAAGGTGTCTAGGCATTAAATTGTTTAAGATGTTACATTATCCGCCCTGCACGTCCCCTGGTATATTTAGAATCCGGTATTTTCCAAAGAGGTTAGAATTTTTTCCCTCTGAACATTTCAATGCAACTTAAACAGGGCCACGTTTCCTTTCTTTGGCAAACATTTGCTGCCTGTTTGCATGTTAAGCAGAAAAGGAGATGTGTCACCCCACCCCAGCAGGTTTTCTTCTCTGTCTCACCTCCTGGTCCTTGCCCTTCTCAGGCCCAGGCTTAGGGTGGCAGGGAGGGTCACGGCCCATGCAAGGGTGAAATGAGGACCAAGGACATCCCAGGATGCTACAAGCAGATGGGCAAGAGCCCAGCACGCCCTGCAGGCCTAGGGTTACTGCCACGGCAGCTCTGCCAAGGGCCAGGCTGGGCCACTCTCCTAAAGCTTCATAGCCAGGGAGGTGCCATCTGCTCCCTAGAATCCATAGACATCCCGTTTTCGTGGAAATCTGTCCCTCCCTCCCCACACCTTGGGCTTGTGGGAAGCCCCAGCTGAACATGAAAAGCAGGTGACCTGCTCCCCTGCCCGCCTGCAGCCTGGTTCTGCCTGACCTGCTTCTCCAGGGAATGAATCTTTCAGCAGCCTTTTCCTTGCCTCATCCTCCACAGCTCTCTTCAAGGGTCTGGGCATGTTCTTCCCAGTGAAGCCTCCCTCTTGCCATGCACCCCTTCCTCTGAATCTTCCTGCTCCTGGGGGCCCAAAGCAGGCGCCCTGGCCCTCTGTCTGTACTCTGGGGTTCCTGACCTCATACATCGGATTGCATCACACCTTCAACCTCACTCCCCTCTGTTCTGCTGGAAGAGAGCCACCCAGCCTCACCATGACCGTGGCTGCCTTCATCCGCCTGCAGGTGTTCTCTTTCCCCAACTCTTTTCTCTCCTGGCAGGCCTTTGGTTGGATTTCAGTTAGGAGGGCCTGGTTCAGGGCATCTGAGTGTGGGTTCTTGGTGTTACTGCTGTATTTTTCTTCTCTGGTTCAGCCTTCGTCTGACTTCGTGGGGTTCAGTGGGGATGTCTGGGCAGACAGGGAGCCTGGCCCTGTTCTGGGAGCCGGAGGCAGGTGTAGATGAAAGCGCAGAGCTGGCCGAGGTGCAAGAAATAAGGCTGCCTTTCTCGGGTCCACGTGGCCACTGCGGGCCTTTGCGTGATGATGGTGGTGGTGCCAATCGGGACAGCAAGGCTTCCTAGTTCTCACACTAGGCCTTGCCTACCTGCTCTAGGCCAGCACTGCTTAATCCTTCACAGATAAGACGTTAACACAACGAAACAATTGTGTGGAACCCCCTTCCCCCAGAATGTCCTAATACTTTCTCCCAGATGTGCTGCACCCCTTCAAAAACTCATGTCCATCTTCCCAAAAACCAATGAACTCCAGGTTTCCTTTGCCCCCTTGGCACTCGTGTAGAAGGCAGACATTTAATTGACAGTGGTACCTGATGAGTGTCCCCCTCATACCAGTCTCCCCGAGGGGCCAGGATGAAATCTCCGGCTTCCTCTCACTCTGCCCACCCACCCAAAGGCCTGTGGCTTCAGGAGGTCTACCCTGCATGACTGTCTTAGAAAGAACAGCTATAGCAGCCAGCACCTCACACAGCCCAGACTGTCAGACCAAGCTGGGCTGGGAGGGCATCTCTTCACCCTGTGCAGGAAGTGAGACCCCAAAGTAGAAGAGACTGACGATAGGGTACACAGTGAGTTAATAGCATAGCCAGGCCCAGAGCACCCGCCATCTAGGCCCTGAAAAAAGTCGAACTGGAGAGAAAGACAAATCTCAGTGGCACCGTAGACTCCCAGGGTCCCCTGGCCCAGCTGGCAATTTCCCCTCCCCCCTCCTACCACGCTGCCAAAGGGTCCATTTAGCTGGAGACAGCGGCGGGCAGTGGGCGGGCCAGCTCCGAGCGCCCAGGGTAATTGCCTGTAATGAAAGCTCCCACAGCCTTTGTTCCTGGGAGCGACCGTGTGGTTGGGGTTGTGCTCCGACGACTGTGCGCACTTGGGAGCTGGTGCCCAGAGACCTCACCCTTCCTTCCCTCTGCCACAACAGGCGTTGCATGGACTTTTCCTCCCAGGGGTCACTGTGACCCCAGCTGAGCCTGCCCCTCCTCTTTCCTGACCTTCTAGCTGTCTGGACTGTGAGCAAGACCCAGGAACCCTGTGTGCCCACGAGCTGCCAGGAATTGGTCCCCTCAGCTTCCCAGAGCACTCTCCTGCGTGTGCGTATGTGGTGGTCCTTACGTGCACCTCCTGAGGGCGAGGATCATGGCAAGACAGAGGACCCAAGGCCTGGAGTTACTGGGGCTTCCCTTGGCCTGTGGGTCAGACATGCTCCTGGCAACAGGCAGAATGTCAAAGAGCAACTGGCATCAGGCTTCCTGGTGCTCTTGTGGCCCCCTATGTGGCCCAACGTTGCACAGGCCTGCTGGGTACAGACACATGTACACGCCTATCAGGGACAGGCTGGCCCAGAGGGGTGCAGGGAACCAGCAGATGGGAAGAGCCACATGCTGAGAGGGTTTCCCTAGCCTGCTGGAGAGGCTCTGAGGCCAGGATAACCTCTCTTTTGAGTGACTGACTGCTCCTTCTTGGTTCCACAGGGTGCAGACAGACCAGGATCCTGGCCCCCTGCCCCTTGATGGCTACTCTGGGCCCCCCATTAGGACTGAGGAGAGCATCTCCTGCATGGGTAAGTGCTCTGTGGGAAAGACTTCCTGGGGGGACGGGAGCCACTGGGCTGGAGCCGTCCTCACTGCCCACACAGGAGAAGCGGCGACCCAGGCTGGGCAGGTTCATCGGGCAGTGACATGTCAGCCTGTAAACTGCACTCTGAGTTTTCACCTTGCTAGACTCAGTCCAGGGTCGCTCCGTCGAACCCACAGGCTCTTCGGGCTCTACATAGGGAGGCAGCAAGTGGGTGCTTATAGTGCTCAGGCTGTGGGAGTCACTGTGCGGGGTGTTTTGAGGTCACGATGACCAGGTAAGCTGGGAGAGTGAGAGGCGGGCTCGGAGTGAAGTCCAGCTTAAAGAGGAGAGTACTGGGACTGGGGAGGGACATTGCAGGACTGTCAGGCTCACTGCTAACAACCACGTCCTCTCCCAGGACTACCACTCCCACTGCTGTCCCCTTCTTTGTGTCACCCTGAAGCCACAGCTTAGCAACTGATACATGAGGTTCACTGGGAGGATCCCTAAACTTCAAACATGTTCTGTTCCTGAAGGGCAGAGATTCTGCCTGTCCCTGGTGCGCCCTAGGGTGCTCTGTCTCTGAGGGAGTGAAGGAGAGGGAATGAGCGAGTGCTTCTGTACCAAAGGGCAGGCCCTAGGTGGTCAGACTGTAAACTCTCAGCATTGAGGGGTATGTGTTGATTCCCTTGCAGCATTAAAGAAACACCTGGAAGCTGGCTCTGCTCCACATCAGGGTTCGTGTGGACAGCACCCTATAGGCAGCCAGCCCTACCCCTTAGTCTCTCAGACACGGGTAAATCTGCCCCAGTGCAATAACGAACTTGCTTCTGGAAAACCTTAGACTGTCCAGAGACTTCATCCCACAGCTACATCCCAGAGCCCTGCTCCAGTGGGCAAAGCGGGCCTCAGGACTCAGCCTGACCCTGAGGTCATTTGGCATTGATGGTGTGCCATTCCTGTCTTCCCCGTGTCCTCCTAGGCAGGTGGGCAGGGGTCACCTTTGGCCTGCAAACTGGGCCCTTTTGAGTCCTCTTTGGGCCCTGTCCTCAGCAGCGAGCTCGAAGCCACAGTGACGCTAGAACAGAGCAGCAGCAAACACTGCTCTACAGTGAGGCTGGTGCAGGAGGGTTAGGGGGCAGGGACTGGGCATTTGAAAAGTGAGTCATCTCCCCCACAGAAGTGTACATGCAGGGGAGCCAGGCAGGGCAGGGGACTAAGGGGAAGCACATTTCACTGGCACCGAAAACCCATCCGAGTTAGAGTGTGGTAACCAGGAAACTATGTGCAGCTCTATTTTCACATTTGCAGTTGTGTTCGCGTAATGGCTTCCTCATGTGTACGCCACATCGTCTGAGCACTCTCCATCCACCTACCCAGGCTCTCATTTGCAATTAGCATCCGATCTGTTGGGGAGGGACTTTGCTTTAAATATCTGCTGCAGGCTGGTGTTCTAACGGAATGCCCCCAGCCCATCAGCTGGAAGACCACCCTCTCAGACCAGATCTGACAGTGTCTGACGGAGCACACGTGGGGGAGTCTGGGAGGCAGAGTGCCAGTGACCCTGTCCCGTGGGCTTCACACAGAAAGGGGAGAAGTGCTGGCTCCCCAAGGCTCCTGGGGAAGGGGTGCAGGGTGCGCAGCTCTGCCTCTGCTCCATGCTAGCTCGTTGTCATGGCAATCCATCTTCACTGAGGATACACTGAGCCCTTTGACGGGCTGGATTTGCCTGCTCTGTGGGGGTGCTCACATTCTCCTGAGCCCGAAGAAGACAGAGAAGAGAGGAAGAGAGGAGACAACTGCAGGGTTCCATCTTATGCCTCGTTTTCCCGCCCCCAAGCTTACCCAGGGCACGATGCGAATCATTCATTCATGTATTCCTTCATTCAATCAACAAACCATCACTGAGCATTTGCCTTATGACAATGGGGTCAAAAGTGGGGAAGACTTTGACCTGCCTACGTGGGGTTCACAGTGAAGGGATTCACTCACCTGGGGAATTTCTTGGCATCCGGAAGCCCTGCCCATTAACCTGTCCTTGTAGGAGCAGGAGGCAGCCACCCAGTCCAGCCTCCCTGGCTAGGCCCTGCAGCAAAAGGAGGGCTCTGCCTGTTTTCTTTTCCCTACGAGGGGAGCACGGGGTACCTCAGAAAATGCACATCATATATTCACATTGCTCACAGATTCCAGCTTAGTTATTCAGTCATTGATCATGTTATTTTTTTATTTCAATTTAGTTATTTGCATTCATTCACTGTACATCATTACAGCATACAAAATGAGATTTTCCATCCAGAGTACCCTGTATATTGTCTCAATCAAGCACATCAACAAACATGTTATTGTCAGCAAACGATCTTCCATTTCTTGTTTTCTGTATGTTTTGCCTTTTTTCCCCCCATCCTTGATTCCCTATCTCTTACCCTCTGCCATCTCCATCTCTCCTCCCACACTGTCTCTGGTATCTAGGTTTGCTTTCTATACTGTTTCCCCCCCACATTTTATTAAATCACCAAAGACCCTAATCAATCTAAATACCCTCATAGCAAACACAGGTGACACACACATTTCCATGAACACAAGTCTAACTTTACGTATCCTATAAAGTAGCACCTAGCTGGGGCTGCATATCCTACTGCAGTCATTGAATAGATATATATTTTTTTTCCTGAAACTTTTTTTTTGTAACACAATTTACATTCCTTCCCTAAGCATCATCACAGCACACAAAATGCTGATCACATTATTTTTATATCAATTCACAGATGATTGGGGACAGGTTACTTAATTTTTTAAAGAGATATTTTTGTTGTTGGGTGCATGCACTTGCTGGAGAGACAGAAAGAGACAGAGAGACAGAGAGTGAGAAACCACCTGCCAGGGAGGATGGCCATACTGCAACCCCTTCTCCTCCATTCTCCTCTCGGGATTTTGGGCATGCACACATACACGCCCAGCAATGGTCCAGGACTCGAACTGTGGTCAACTACATGGGAGTCCAGCAATGTAACCATTACACCGTCTGCTGATCCCAAGGTTACTTAATTTTTTAAGTTTATTTTATTTATTTCTTCCATGAGTGAGAGAGACAGAAGCAGCACCCCAAACAGGGTCTTACCTCTGGGATCCACCCCCAGCCTCGGCCAGCTCTGGTCAGGGTCACTCGTGTGCCTGACTTCCTCTCAGGGGTGTCTCCGGGGCACACCTGAACCCTCTCATGTGGCCCAGACTCAGGGAGTGCAACCACTCACTCTGAGCTACCATCTGGCCCCAGCGTACCTTTTTGGGAGCTCAAATACCCTCCTTCCTGTCGGCGAACTTGACATGTCCCTGTCACCTAGCACAGCGCTTGTGACCCGTGTGTGACAAGCGAGGGAGTGAAAATCGAAGAGAGCGGTGGGGAGCCCAGGCGGCCCCTGAGAACCCGCTTCCTGTGCTCGTGCTCACTGCACAGGAAAGAACAGCCATTCTTTCTGGGCTCTCTTTCCAGTGGGGGCTTGCTGGCCTCAGCCTCACTGCATCTGGCTTGGAGTCTTTCTGAGGGGAGCAGAAAGCCGGAGCTTCCCCATCCTTGTGCCACTTTCCCACTTACCCTGCCTGGACTGGGGAATAGAGTTCAAGCAAGGCTGGACAGTCCTCTCGTAGCAGGAAGAGAATGTCCTGCGATGCCTTGACTGAGCTGGGTGGGCTGCAGGCAGAGTGTGGAAGCACACAGCCCATGGGGGTTTGAACCTGGACCCTGACTCACCCTTCACCCACCTGGCCGTGTGGGTAAGAGCCCAGCACTGGTCCATCCACGCATGCTGCCCTCGGTTCCTGTCAGCACCAGGCAGAGCTCAGGCCACCATCAGATCTTATTTTGGACAGCTGAGGGGAGCCAGGGCTGATGTCACGCGTGCCCACATGTGTGAGGCCGTGTGCAGGAGGACTGAGAAAGTCACCCTGAGGTTCACACAGATTCCGTAATTACTTCCGCTTTGTGGCATGTTTGACTGAGCGCTAAGTGGACACATAATGAAGGGATCTTTCTCATCATAACATGTGTCCCCGGGGAACAAGCCAGAGCCTCCTCCCTGCCTGCTCCTCACAGAGGGGTGGTCTATATATAGCAAGGGAGGGGCGCTGTGCCGTTTGGCCTCACGCTGGAGTCGTTTTGCTTTTCTTCCTTTCTTTTCACTGGTTGAGCTGACTCCATCTTTCAGCCACATAGATTTCCCATGTCTTGTAGGTTTGGGGGAATAGAGTCCCCATCCCAAGGGAACTTACAAAGTTGGTGTACCTTGCCCGGGCGGGAGCGAGGTACAATGACCTTTGCTCTCTGGGACGGGAGTTTGATCTGGCTTCCAGGGTGGGCTCCAGCTCATTGGTACAAACCCCACTGTGCTCTTGGAGTTTCAGGGCCAATCCGAGTATGCCTGGACTGCCAGCGACTTCAAGTTAAAAAACAGAAAGAACTAACAAATTTTTAGATTGCTTGTATTTGGCCTCACTCTTGACGGGGAGCGATGAGACTCAGAGAAGAGAAATGGCTGGCTCGTGTTGCATGGTGAGTTAGCAGGTGAACTGAAACCAGGACGCTGCCTTCTGACTCCTCGAACACTAAAGTAGCCAAATGCTAATAATAACCACCATCTAGTGAACACCTACTATGTGCAGGGTTCAGTGGTAGGTGGTTTACATAAAGTCCTTCAGGCATGCCTTACGCAAGCCTTAGAAGGTACTGTTATTACTCTGTTGTAGGTGAAGGAACTCAGTCTCAGAGGGGTGATATAAACCTGTCTGGGGGCCGGGTGGTGGTGCATTAGTAACACAGCATTGTGAAGTGCTGGAACCACATGGCAGGGTACTGAGTGTGTGTCCTGGGCCCTCCCTGTACTGGTTGTGTGTGCATGCCTGAGACAAGGACTTGCCAAGGCTAGGAGGTGGTTTGTGGTGTGAAGACCCTACTGAAGGTGCCTCTCTAACTCTCTGTATCTCTGTCTGATAAAGGAAATATATAATAATCTAAAAACAATAACTACAACAGCTCTGTCTGAAGATAGACAGCTAGGGCTGTGCCAGGATTTGAACTCAGGCTTGTGGGAAGATCTTGCCCTTCTCCTCCCACTCCCCTGCCTTTCTCCCACCTGCCACCAGCACTCCCTGTGTTGGTTGCCTGCTGTCCAAGCTCTGCTCAGTCTCCATAACCTCTGCCGTGGTGGGGCAGGAAGCAGTCAAGG